ACCAACAGTACACGACCTGATATAATCTCAGTCCAGACAGTATATTTATTTCAACTAATCACTATATATAAAATGATAGATATATATGTCAAAATCAGCCAAATTATGTACAAAATACACAAAAATTTATCAATCAATCCTCCTAACTACTTGTACAAACTTTTACTGCCCATTTGTTTCTAACCATGTCTATAGTATCCATAGGCAAAGGTTCTATATCTTTAAATGCCTGTAAGAAGTTCACAATAATAGAATGGTAAACCCTAAGCAATAAAAATAAAGGAATTGAATATAATAGCAAATGTCACTTACCTCATTCCAACTATCCCGAATGCTACCAAAAATGATGAGCCACATCCAATACATTACATAGTAGCCGCACTCGTATCCTCCATTTTGTTTGTTACACTAAAAATGACTAAATATGTTAAAAATAACTATTAAATTTGAACATAAATTAATAGATAGTATAATATATATAAAGGCTACTTACTTTGATAAAATTCCAATTTGGAGTTGTGCTTTTACTTGTGTGTTTTCCATCTAATGTACTACAAACCTTTAAAGCACTAGATATTGAAAATAAGGGGCTTAGAAATAGAATAATCAAGATTTTTAGACATAATATAAGAAATACTTACTCGTTTACAATATTTTTTAGCTCCATGTCAAGTTTCCTTCCCAATGAGCAGAACCAACACACAAGATTCTGCTTTGGACAAATAACTAATAGCTGCCAGTGGTTTCTGTATATACACATGATTAGAATCTATTAAAAAAACTTGTGTAAAACCAGAAGAGGCTGGGATAACTTACGAATGATGGTATGCTCCAAGGTAAATATCTCTTTTAAAATTAGTGATCCAATTCTGCATGTAACTGAGAATTTGATCACGCTTATTCCCAGACTTTTGTATGGATTGAGGCTCGAAGAATCCATACACATGACCAATGCCCTGCTCCACTATCATTTCGTGCATCATCCTAAAATATGCCAATTTAAGTAACTTATAGCTTATATATTTACTAAAATGAAAAGAGTCATGAAAGATATGAACTTACAATGTCCAAAATTGTAAAACAGCTATATTTAGACATTGATTGCCCATCCCAATCTCCAGGGCATCAGTGTGGGAAATGTATAGGGGGATATTGCTAGAAGCCATCCCAAATAATGTACAATCCCATGGAACTTGGAATGACTGCATATACAATTGTGGGGAAAGAGACAAGAGATCAAAAATTGGATTTGGAGAAGTCTCCACAACTCGGTGTCTTCTCCTTAGATCCGAAGGAGTGGTAATAGCTTTACCCAAGTCTTTTGGCTGCTGAACATCCTATATATTTTATAAAATATAATCATAAACAATAAATCAATTTATTTATGTGTTAGATGTATTATAACCATACATATACATACCTTTGCCATGATTGACCTAACTAAATGTCGGGGCCAAGTAATGAAGGTCTGAAGGGCTTGGCCCACTGTCTGCACCTCTTCAGTGGGGATAGGGACACTAGCCTCAGCGTCAACCACCTTTTCAACCACTACTTTGACCAAGTTAGGATCCAAAGGCACATTGTGGATGGTTGAAGCCCCTTCATGAACTGATCCATGGGCCACTAGTCTTAGACCTTCATCTACCTCAACCCACAAGCCATATCGATCATCCTTTGTGGATTCAGGATGAATAAATGCCACCTCAGGTGTGACCTCGATAGTGGCTTCAACACAACTGCCCTTTGTGCTAACTCTTGGACCTACAAATACAGTAAATTCCAATAAGGACTAAGATTTTAGAAACACAAGTCAAGTACCAATTTGTGGTTGAAAATGCACCTGATGGAGGACGAGCATCAGCAAATGAAGTACCCATGGAGGTCATACGTAGGAACTGCTCCTGCACACGTGCAGTGATGGTCTACTATACCCACTCAAGTTTCCATAGGCAGGGAAGTCATTAATGGTACAAAATAACATTGCATGCAACTTGAACTTCTACTGCTGATACCCATCAAATGCATCTACTCCTTCCTCCCATAATAATGTTAAGTCTTCTATCAAAGGACTCAAATACACATCTATGTCATTTCCTGACTGTCTTGGACCTGAAATCATCATACACAACATGACATATTTGCACTTCATGCATAACCATGGTGGAAGATTGTAAATCATCAATAAAACGGGCCATGAACTATGGTTACTACTTAAATTTCCAAATGGATTCATCCCATCTGTTGCTAATCCAAGTCTAAGGTTTCTTGCATCACTACCAAAACTTGGAAATAGACGGTCAAAATTCTTCCATTGGGGAGAGTCAGATGGATGTCGCATTTGCCCATCACATGTTTTTCTCTTTGAATGCCAAATTAAATTTTCAGCATCTTCGTGAGCGTACAACCGCCTAAATCTTGGAATTATTGGAAGATACCATAAAACTTTTGTAGGAGGACGTTTTTTACCACTCACCTAACTACAATCATCACCATCCTTCGCTTTGTAACGTGATACACCACATGTTGGACATTGGTCTAAAGATGAGAATTCTTTCCTGTATAACACACAATCATTAGGGCAAGCATGTATCTTCCTATATTCTAAACCCATCGGACAAAGTATCTTCTTCGCTTCATACATACGGTCCGGCAAGGTGTTATTGTCTGGGAGCATCTCCTTCAAAAGTTGGAGTAATTCATTAAAACTTGTATCACTCCAACCAAAATTTGCTTTTAGATTGACCAATCTTAACACAGATGACAACCGTGTGAAAGTTGTACATCCGGGATACAAAGGTGTCTCTGAATCGGTCCTCAATGTATCATATATAGATGCATGTGCTTCAAGAAAGCTCTCTTGACCCACATCACAAAGCATGTCCTCTATTCGATCTTCGCAGGTTACATCATCCTCAATAGTTTGTGATACTATTGGAATATCAACCACTTCACCGTGCCATGTCCATATGGTGTAATTCTTCATCATCCCATCGCAAATAAGATGTTCCCGCGTTGTGTCCATCTCTTGTACTCTGCCATTTACACAATTAACGCATGGGCAATAGATTTTTCCATTCATTTTGGGAGCATTTTTTTCGGCAAATTTCTAAAAGGAGTCAACTCCATTATCATACTCTTTTGACATGCGACTTGCATTGACCCAAGTTCGATCCATCTAACTACACAAAAGGGCTTGCCTAGATATTCAAGGTTTATTAGAAAAATTTTAGCAAAACAATACAAAAAAAACGTGTACATCTGATTTCCCACATAAAGAATGGGAAAATAAAACGTGTACATGTACATGAAAGAGTATATACCACTTTGAAATCGAAAACAAACTTCCAAAAGCCTAAAGGAACCTAGATCAAATCAAACCATACAAAATCATCCATCATCTGTCCAATGTTCATATGCAGGAAATGCTCTAAATAATCCATATTTATGTTAAACGCATGCTGTAAATCATCCATACAACTTAATCTAACCTGATGAGAAGGGGTTTCCTTAGGGAAACGAGGGGTACCACACACACGGCAACAACGGCGGCGCAACGCCGTGTAAGAGCGCGGCGAGGGGGCGGCGTTACCACGTCAAACAAGGAACGAGGAAGAAGCAGAGAACTGAGGTAGTAGCGCACGACATTGAGGACTGAGGTAGCAGAGCACGAAGAAGAAGCAGAAGGACTGAGGTACCAGAGCACGAAGAAGAAGCAGAAGAACAACTGTGCGCCTTCGAGTCTAGGTATCTTAGGACATTCGACGTCGGTTATTAAAAAACCCGACGTGGATAATGCTTTCGACGTCGGGTAAATCCTGGAACCGACATTGATTTTGGGATTTCAACGTCGGTTATACATGACCGACGTTAAATTTAAACATTTAACGTCTTCTGTTATCTAACCGACGTTATTTTTCCATTACTACGTCGGTTTTGTTATAACCGACCTTAACTTTTGTTTCTTAATTACAAGTTTGCCACCGCGTCTTGTACAACGTCGGTCTTCATAAAAATCGACGTTGGATGCTGTCGTAGTAAGTGTTTTCTGTAGTAGTGCTATCTCCTATAATCCTAATACTTTTTTATATTGACTGCTCTTCTTGGACCTGAACCTTCGTTTGTGATACCCTATGTTCATTTATTACTCATTCTTGGTAATATACATGATTTTAGGCGAGATTCTCGAGATTGTATCCCTGAAATAAGGAACCTCATCATGTGACCGACCCATAAGGTCGGTCACACAACAAAGTGGACTATTTGAACACTGCAGATTCTAATTAAAGTAGTATTGGATCATGTGTTTTGTGTGAATGTAATTAATTATTTAATATGAATATGTTTATTGTTTTTGTAATGTAATATAGTGCATTTGTAAAATGTAGGTTCTAGGATAATCATAATACAAATCCAACATTAAAAAAAAACTAACAACATATGACAATGATTTTTACTATAAACATCTTCATATATATCATACTATGATGGTTCCAACATCAATCACATTGTATATTTGGACTTATGATGATGGCCCAAATACCAATCATCATCGTATGTTGTTTTAAAACTTAATCTTGGAGGCAAGGTGACTAATATGATGATAGTTGTATATATTCACATACAATAAAAATTATATGTATAATCATTATCAATTGCTTCACTTTGAACTCGACATCCACATTATTGAAAATAGTTAATGTTAGATAAAGGTCATTAATGGAAGAAACCAAGGTGAAATTAGAGGAATAATGACCTATATTATTGAATTACCAACTATACTCAAGGTTTGTGATAAGAGGAAACTTACCCTTCTTGTTCACCTTAGTGGTTCTTAGACTAGTCTCTATTCCCATATTTTGGGACTTGCCCTCCCTAGGCATAGAGGAAGGGCCCTATGCTTGGTAGAAACCCTTTTAAAAAAAGGTGACTTAAGCCATGTTGGCATTCTCCCCACGGCCAAACTACCATATGAATCAGAGATATTCTTCTCCAATGAACTCATGGCTCATAGGTTGAACTTCACATTCAATCACAAGTGATTCAGTGAAGATCCAACCACTCAAGCCATAAGAGGAAGAAAAATACAAAAGACTTAATCAAAATTGTTCTTACAAGCTCGAACACCAACCTTCTCTTGGGCTTCTTTCCTCTGAATCTTCTCTAAATGTCCATCCAACTATCTTGGGAGGCAAGTTCTCGAATCAGGCCACTTATGGTGGGGATACCTGCAGAGATACTTTGATGCTCAAGTTAATTACGAGAGAAATATTTTATAAGGTTTTTTGGGAGATACAATAACCATAACCTTCTTATTATTCTCACAAGTATATATAAGAGCATGGTCGGGCCAACCTAGTTTGGAGTTTTACAAGGTGGGACCATATTGAGAGCCACTATAGTACATATGTCCCTTGAAGCTCGAGGTAAGTAATATCAATAACGTGGTGGGACACTTACTAGTCGTTTAGTTTTTAGTGTTGGAGATGAAGAGCTTGAGTGGTCTGAGAAGTATCCGGTCTTGGCACATGCTTATACACCATCCATTGAGTCTTCGGTATTTTTCTGGTGCCAAAGTTGGATGTTGGGGAAAAGGCGAAAATTTTCAATTTTCCTTTTACTTGGGAAGTGTGTCAATTGTTAGATCTAAGGCATTGATTTGAACAAGATCTAATAGCTAGTACATGAGATGCTTTGATTTCTGTGCTTGTGTCTATATAATGGGCACTAGGGATGACAATTAAACCCGTACCCATGGGGACCAACCCATCCCCGCCCCGAGTTTGATGGGGAAACCCGAGTTGACCGAGGGCGGGGACGGGGGCGGGGATGGGTAATGCAATCCCCACCCCGATCCCGATCCGATCCCGACCCCGATCCCCGTCCCGACTTTATATTTAAATTTAAATTTTAAAATATTAATATTTTAAAATTATTTCTTTTCTTTTTCTATTACATATAAAGTCATTTTTTTATATTTCATCAATTTTTTTCTTCTACCCACTTTTTAATTTTTGTCTTTTTTAATCTTTTATATCAATTAATTTATTACATTATTCTTTCTCTTACCTTTCGAGTTTTTCACATTTCCTTAATCTCTCTCATCAATTTGTTTTTTTATTCTTTTCAACCAATTTGATGAACACAAAGTTAATTTTTTTATTCTTTATCTTTTTCTAAATATTTTACATAAATCTTAGTAGTAACTAATATTATTTTATTTAGAATTTATATTTATTAGGTTTTATTATGTCATAGTTTTTATCTTATTATTCTTATTTATCATATATCAAATTTTATCTTAATAAAATAATTGTATTTTAAAGGATTAAAAGAATTGATAATTTAAACTTTTATTACTTCGAACTAATTGAATAAGAATTAACTTATTAAATATTTCCTTATAAACTATATATTTCATATTTTTAAATGCCAACTTAAAAATGAATTAACTTATATATATAAAATCAAATGTTTGAATACAGTATTATAATAATAATGTTATAAGTATTCAAATATTTGAATATAGTGTTATAATAATAATAATGTTATAAATAAAAAATGATTAAATATTTCTTTTACATACATATTTAATATAAATATAATAAATTAAAATGTATATTTAATTAGTAATAATTATAAATTATAAAATTTTAAATATTTATTTATATATAAAAAATAGATAGTAAAATTAATTTATTATAAATGTAATTATATTTTTAAAAATAATATAGATCTGGGACAAGACGGGGCGGGAACCCGAAACCCAGGCAGGGACGGGGATGGAGACTTAATTTCTAACCCCAGCGGGGATCGGGGACGGGGATGGTTAAAAAAGTCAGGGGCGGGGATCGGGGAGGCAAAACCCGCCCCCGCCCCGCCCCATTGCCATGCCTAGGGCGCGGTGGGCCATTTCTCTCATTCTGCTGCTCTGTGTTTTTTGCCCTGCTTAAGTTGCTCTCTTGCTTCTCTGTCAAATTGCCGACCATTAATCTTTGCTTCTTGAGGTAATAATGACTTACTCCTTTCTTTCTTCTTCGTCAAGGGCTTCGAGTGGGTCATCAGTATGGGTTAGGGGTGTGTCTGTCGACCGTCTTCACGGTGATGGCGTGGAAAAGACCTATATCGACTCTTCAGCCATGACCAGCGGTTATGAGTTGGTCGACCATAGGGTTTGGAGTTATTATTCGAAGTACTAGTGCCCAAGTCTGTTAAAGTCCTTCATCGAGTATCAAGAGGGCTCCTTTGATACTATGGTAGTGCTCTATCATTGTGGCACCATGGATAATGTGTGTCATGGCCAAGAAGGTGTTGAGGAGTACTTCTACATGGACCTCTTGCTTGCTTTCTGATATCCATGTGCACCTTCCTTTTGATGAGTTCATGATGGGCATCCTTCATGTCTTAAACATCACTCCAACGCACCTGCATCCTAACAGTTGGGCTGCCTTACAAGCCTTCTACCTCTTGTGTGAAGCCCTACACGCCAAGTCTTTCTTTCTCACTTCAATACCCGACCGACTTCTCCAGTGAGTTGGGTGTCACATTATTGGCAACTCAACTTCTACCATGCTTGCCCCTTACACTTTGTCTTTCAAAAACATCAAAGGCGACTTCTTTAAAGTTGTTGTTCGCCGTTCTAATTATGACCACATTTTTTATGGTGATAGCCCTAAAATTCCCCTTGTACTAGACTCACAGCCCGCTGCTTTTTAAGAATTGGTCATGTTCTGAGATGTCACTAGATGATATCTGCATGTTAGGAATATTTGAAAAATTGCCCCTCCATTTGCCAACCCAAAAACTTCTTAGCGTTTATCTATCTCCACGTCATCTTTCTGGCTTTGATGGTATATGTTGTTTCGATTTGGATGGTTGTCATTCACTCATTTGACATTTTGTTTAATGTGCATTTTTTTAGACATCCATGGCCATAAAAATGCTAGCAAACAAGAACTTCCTTGAGAAGTATCGATAGTGGAGCATCACTGTTGCCAATAAGGTTAAGGAGGTTACTGTTGTTGTGCCACTGCTACCGTCATCGTCCGACTTGTTACCTACCGCATATGTGCATAAGAAGCACAAGAAAAGGGACAAAGATGTGTTAAAAATACAGGCTGAGATCAAGAGGAGGAGGCGAATTGATCTAATCAAAACTTTTCACAACTTTTGATTACAGATTAACAATTTCAAAGATTTAAAGAAACAAATCTTAATTTAAACCAAATAACAACAATCTTGAATAAAAGAATGAGATGAAAGAAGAATAAGAACACCAAATTTATACTGGTTCACCCAATCCAATGGGCTACATCTACTTCTCAACCAATTCCAATTGAGTTCCACTAATTAAATTCAATTGATTACAAGTGCAAACTATACAAAATCAATCTACACCAAGAAGTACAACCAAGTTCTTGAACCTATAACAGCAACCACAATTCCAGTTGCTTAACCCATCACCACAATTCTAGACACCGAAAATACAAAGAACCGAATGAAGAATCAAGATGCTTGAAGAAACTACAACAATTAAATGAATATGCGAGATGCAAAAATCCAATCACAGAATGAGTTTCTTCAAAAACAAGAACAAAGAGCCTCAAGAAAGATTTCAAAATAATTCTAGGAGTAAAGCATGATTCTCTCTTGGAACGAGATCTCTAAAGATTGCTTGGATGATTTCTCAAAAGTGTGTCTCAAAACGTAGGCGATATATATATATATATATATATATATATATATATATATATATATATATATATATATAGAGAGAGAGAGAGAGAGAGAGAGATTTCTAACTAATTGGTATGATTAATCAATTAATTCGCAATTTGATCAATTAAAACAACTTAGTTTAAATGAATTTAACTGATAAAAATGCGTTTTAATCGATTAAAAAGCTTTTGTCAATTTTTTCCTAGACATTTTAACTAATAAAAATGTGGTTTAATCGATTAAAAAAGTTCTAAATATTTTTCAGAGACGTTAACAAAAACGAGCTTTAATCAATTAAAAGAATTCTAGATATTTTTCAAAGATATTTTAACTGATAAAAATGAGGTTTAATCGATTACAAGAATTCTGAATATTTTCCAAAGACGTTTTAACTAATAAAAACGTTGTTTAATCGATTAAAATTGTGACACAAAAATGTTTAAGTGTTTTTAATCAATTATTTCAAAAATGTATAAATTAACACTAAGACTAAAAGTGTTTTCAAGCTACTTAAGTGAATTTAATTGATTATTTTATAAACGTATCATTAAAATTGTGATTACAGATGTTCTTTAGCTGCTTAAGTGAAATTAAGCGATTATTTCAAAAACATATCAATTAAAACTGTGACTACACATGTTCTTTAACTACTTAAGTGAATTTAATCGATTATTTCGAAAACATATCAATTAAAAACCTTACTGAAGAACATATTAACCAATTAAATGATTTTTAAAATAAATACTTGAGGCACTTTATACTTTGTAAAAGAAAGAAACTTATGCTTGAGGAGAGGATAGTTGCTTATACCTACATAATGTAGATGTAGACACACTAATGGACTAACACAACATTTTCTTTTAACATCTTCTTTTGACTTCATTAAATCTTCTAGCAAGACTTCCAAGATTCTTCCTATTAGCTTCTTCATCAAGATGCTCACGGCCATTGTGGTGATTCTCCCTGCCTTTCACCAAAGAGAATGCAGACACACATCTCTAGTACCAATTCAGTCGTTTATACTTCCAACCAATTTGTAGGCTCTGATCACCAACTCAGCTTAAAAGCTACATTAGACATGTCGGTGATCAAGAAGGATTTGTATATGGTCGTCGATCATGCGAAGATGTTGTAGGCTTTCATCAAGCTCTAGGCTCAACTTGTCTTGGGTAAGAGGCTGAGGGATGATGTGATAAAAAGCGACGATTGTTCAGACTTAGCCCGTGTCAAGGGTAGCCATTCTAAACTTCAAATTCTCTTTGGGAAGCCCTAGATATGAATTTGGCCCTTAATGTTGAGTTCGTTAAGTTAGGTAAAAAAATCTTGGCAATAAGGGTGGAGGGCGATGAGCTGAGGGAAAGATTGACATGTGCGGAAGAAGAGAATAAGGCAATTATGGACAAGGAGGCTGACCTTTCCTCTCTCCACGAGTTGAAGGTCACTACAAAGGTAATGACCATGAAGGAGTTGACTGAGATCAAGGAATATGTTGTCCAAGAGCACATGGAGGGATTTAAGAAGGCCATCCGTCAGATGAACTTCTTCGTAGGGAGTTGTGTATCTTGAAGCAAGACGAAGTTTGATGTCGAGTACGACATTCATAACGGGTCTCTTGTTCACATTAATGACCTCTCAGATGATGCCTAGTGTATTTTTCTTTGTCTTTTGTTTGAATATATACCCATCGGATTTGTTTTCAAACTTTTTTGAAATGACGATGTTGATTAGGCTTGTTCCCGATATTTGATGTACATTTTTAACTTGCAATGAAATTTCGTTATTAACGTGTTAGTTTGTTCTTGTTCCGTGTTATTTTCGGGTGTTATTAGATAATGTTTTATTTTCTTTTTTGCCTTAATTACTTGATATTGATTTTAGTTTATTTTGGAGAGATTGCTCATTGAAGGAACAAAGTGTCCTTAACCGACTTGCTCTTGGGAGGGGTCACTTAGAAGTGAATCATCTTAGGCCGAGGAGTGCTAGTGATGAATGGAACGATTGTGCTTTATTTATGAATGATCATGCCTCGTTAAAACCTCCCCATCTAAAACTCTCCTTAGGGAAAAAAGACTAGTGGTAGGAAAGAGTACATGTCGGTACAAAGTACACAAACATAACTAAAATAAAATTTGAGAAGTGACACAAGCCAAGTACACAATATTGATTTGTTAGTTAACTCTTCCAAATGGTAGGCTTTTGTTGCCTAGTGCTTATATTATCCTATAAGGTCCTTCCCAAATAGATGATAAATTACCTTCTGTCGGGTCCTTCCTCGCACATCCTCTTGATCAAAGTACTAGGTCTCCTTGTCGAAAACTTCTCAATTGCAATTGAAGATAAGTCAATTCGGGGTACAAGCCAAATATGCAAGTTCCACACACAAGTTTTGACTTCATTCAAATGTGATTCAAAAATCTACACAAGGGGTCCTATATAGTTAATCCGCTCTCATTCACTCACTCACCTAAGGAATGTGGGACTAATTTGGCCTTATACAAGTGATGACCGAAGTTCCTAGCTTCAAGTACCACCTAGCCCACTTTCAATCACATTTATGAGTTTATATACCAAAAAACTCTCAAATGTTGCAACCAAGAGTTGAACCTTGGACCTCCTTGAGTGTTTAGAGTGCTTTGGCCGAATTTGAGAAGCTAGAATGCTTTTTGTGGCAGCCAAGACTTGAACCTTGCCCTCTTTTTTTAAGTGCAACCCCTTCACTCCCATCTCCTCTGAATTTGGCTTTCTTCAAGTGTTTATATACATGATACCTCTCCAAAGTTGTAACCAAGAGTAGAAATTGTACTTCTAGTTGTTGAAACATACAAGGATATGAACGTTGAACATTTATGGATATGAAGCTTGTTGATTTTGATGATGATTCAAGAATAAAAGACTTAAAGATTTGAAGACTTGTAATGTTATGTAATAACTCTGTTTTTATGATTTTGAGTCTGTAATATTAGAGTCCAAGATAGCCAGCACATAGTCCACTCTTTAAAGGCTTTAAAAACTCATTTTTATCAAAAACATACTGGATTAATCGATTAAATGGGAGGATAATCGATTATTACAGAGAGAAAACCATTTTTCAGCATTTGCTCTCTAGAATAATCGATTAAACACCCTGTTAATCGATTAACCGAGCTATTAATCGATTAAATGCCCAGGTAATCGATTAAATTGAGTTGTTTTGGGTTCCCTGTGAATTTGGCTCTGGAATAATCGATTAACACTCAAGATAATCGATTATTTCAGTCAGATATGTGTTTTGAATTTCAAAATTGGACCAAGTTTCGAAAACCCTATTCCCAATTCATCTGTTTTCGAAAATCCCCAATTCCCAAACCCTAATCTTTCTACTTAAGGTTCTCTAAGGCTCTCTGCAAAAATGAACAACCTTTTTCAAACAAAAGTTAAGAGTTGTGACTGCCAGAGAACTGTTTATTGGAGGAAAAAGGGGCTTTTGAAACCTAGTGTGGGCTAGAAGCGATAAGAATCACTGAGTGGGTTTTCTTGGTGGATTGTGTGTTGTACCGTCTCTAGGGAAAGTTGTTCTTCATCCTTTGTGGGATTCAAAGGAGGTGTTCATCTCTTGTGTGACTCAAGAGAGGTGTATTCTTTACCTTATCTTTTCATTTGTAATCTGTTTGTATAACTGTGATTATAGTGACAACGTTAATCCTCTGTTTGAGTGATTAGCAACTAGACGTAGGGTCTTTTGATCTGAACCAGTATAAATCGACTGTGTAATTTTCTATCCCTTCTCTATTTACTTTACACAACATTTTAATTGGTGAAATGTGGGAAAAATTTTA